GATTTGGAACCAGCGGTTTACATTCGGGAAGGGAGTGAGCTTATGTCCCAGTTGAAGGACCAGTTGGTCATGCTACCCGATTTGGATGACCTCTCTCCTGAATGTGATATTGAGGCCGCTGACGTCGGGGAGCCTGGTGAAAGCACGGAGGCACAGGAAAAGCAGCTGGAGTCCATCCTGAAAAGGCACAAGAAGATCTTCTTAGGTGATGGGAACGCTGCCCCACCTCCGGCGAGGGGCGTCATCTGCGATTTAGATGTGGGTGATACCAGGCCAGTTGCCCAGCGACCCCGATCGGTCGGTCCACACTTGGCAATCAAGGTGTACGAATTGCTGAAGAAGCTCCTGGAAGCTACGCTGATCGAACACTCTGAATCTCCGTGGGCATCACCCATTGTGATCGTGCTCAAGAAGAACGGAGTGGACATTCGGATGTGCATCGACTACCGAGTCGTGAATAGTTTCATTCAATTGTCGAACTACCCATTACCACTGATCGACCACTCCCAACTCCCGTTATCATTAGCGGGGGAGCATCTTCGCTTGCGATTACCACACTTCTATATACCCGGACCTCCCCTGCTACGAATACCGGTGGAATGTACATTTCACGCACGTTCCCGGCTCCGATGCCCACTCAGATTCGCATTCCTGCCTCGCTCGACGACGTTGCTGGTCATGCTCAGTTGGAGCAGCCACCTACTGGACTGATGCGGGTGATGCAAGTTCCTGACTTCTCTCACGCGGATTCGGTCCTATTGACCGGTTTGGTTAGAAATGATGTTGTCATTTCAGCAGCGACTGCTGGCTGCGCCAGACTTCCACGACCCTCAGGTCCGCGCTCAGGTTGACCGTGAGGTCTTTCCCCTGTTGTGTTGTTTTGGAGCCGACTGTCTTGTACTCTGAGTAGTATCGACGCTGTGTTTCTTGCGTTTGACACTGGATCAAGTACGGCATTCTCAGACGCCCAATGGCTCAGCCCAAGTAGTGGTTCGTAACAACGAGCTCATGGATAAAGTGGCGCGACTGGAGGGCCTACTGCATCGTTCCCGAGCTGATCATGCGGCTAAAGTTCGTGCCCTGCAGTTACAACTCAACGGTGGTCGCATTGCCAACTCTTCCCAGCGAGACCTCAATGCAGCGATTTATAAGGTTATTCCTTTCAGTGCAGAGGTCGCAGAATTGCGTTAACGGCTCAAGGAGAGCGAGGAACCCTGTAGCGTCCATGCTAAAGATGCTGAGGACATTATCAAGTCAATGGGTCTAGAAACGTATCGCGCGGATAAGGCTGAAGCAGAGCTCGGCGCTGTCAGGTCGTAGTCCGGTGACGGCCTCATGGACTTCATTATGGAGAACTGTTACTTCGTGCGGTACTGGCCCCGTCTTCAGGAACCGGTGTAACACTACTGGGCCAGCACCACCATGGACTCCAAGGCGTTGACTTCCTTGGTCGTTCAGGCTCGGCATCTCGTGAGCGATGCTTGTACACCGTACACACCTTACTGTCATATGCCTGTAGCATCCAAGCCCTCTTCAGCTCTGTCATCTGGTCGTGCAGCAACCAATACACTGTCTCATCTGCACCAAGGTACTCCCAAGCCGACCCCGGGATCGAAGCCGAGAGCGAAGAAGACGATCAAGCTCTCAGACCTCTCTCTCTCCTGATGATTCTGGACTCCCGGAATTGGAGGAAAAAGATCTGCACCCGGAAATATGGTCAACCTTACTGGGTCTGCCTCAGTCACGCCACGTTCTCAATCTCCATACGGTGCTCCGGCTCCATCTTCCAAGGTCATGTCTTTCCTGAAGCGACTTGATTTAAGCAGTCGTCCTGCCAGTCATCGTCCCAACCTCGTCCGAGCTCTGAATCATTGTCCATCTACTATCCCAGTCTCGGACGCCAAGCGCTTAATTCCATACTCGTGCCGATGTCCGAGAATTGGTCTTAGGTGGTACTGCATTCTGGGTTGCTGTGAAGTCGGATGGTAAGGCTGCTCTGCTACACTCTCGGTTTGGCAAGGAAGCTCTGCATCAGACGCTGAGATCAGTTATCTATTGGCAGCTGCTGAACTTTACACCGTGGGTCCAGTTAGTCCCAGATGAATTCCTGGATAATGCTTTGGCTAGCATTTGCGAGGTCCATCTTGGTACCCTGGGATCCTCTTCTAGTATTCCCAGCTAATATCCAATGATGATGCAGAGTTCTCTGCTCACGATCAGCGTAGCGACGATGAAGGTGATTCCGCGGACGTTGGTAGTAACCCCCCAAGAAATCTCGCCTACCGGCTCAGTCGAGCCACGTCAGTAACAAGAAGAAAAAAAAAACGTGGGCGGAAGAGTATGTCACCACCTCGCAAAATCCAAGAAATCTCGTGTTCATTCTCAGACTGCAGCTCCTGCTCGACATTTATCCATATACAGCAAGCCTATCCAGGAGGCTGACAAGTCATTGAGCCCGTCACAAGCAAGTCCAGCCGACGTTTTTACGGTATCGTGGTCCAGAAGTACCTTCAGCAGACACTGGGATTATCAAATTACAAAGCTTCTCGCCATGCTATCGCAGCTCTACACGGTCGTTTTGACGTATTCGAGTACTTGGACTTATGTTTGATGACCGCCTGGGAGGAAATGTGGCGCAGTCGCATCACGTTCTTGGTCTTCTTTCCACGTGGGATGTTTGAAGACGAGTTCTACACTGTAGTGCCAAGAGTTCACAACTTCATGTACAAGTGGCGTCGTGAGTATTGGGAGCGTGGTCATTGGCTCACCATCAGTGCTGACATGGATGTTCGCAGCGGGCCTCGCTTCCAACGCCTAAACAAGACTCATCGTCTCATGATCATTAACATGTAAAACGACCGCAAGGCACGAGCTAGCAGTTTATGAAAGCGGAAGATGAACTCATGACGTCCCAGGCGAAAATCAAAGGCTATTCTAATATCGAGATGTTCGAGGCTGGATTCTGGGTAGTCTCCATGAAACCTTGCGATTGGATTCTACGTTATCCTGAGGAAGGGATTTCCTTGGAACAACAAATGCGAGACATTGATCGCATGGAGCGTGCTCGAACTCAGTGGGCTACACGCACTTCAGATGACTGCTATCTGGATATTGCACCACAGAAGATACGCCACCGTCATATCAAACACCAGAAGTTACTTCTTCCTCTGCCGACTATTGCTGGTAGTCTTTGACGTCACCCCAGGGTTCCTTAAGTGTTTTTATATAACTTCCATAATGAAATTCTTAGGTTTCTTCTCATTTCAACAAGTTCCCTTCTGTTTCTTTCACAGGTTAGTTTGTGCTGACACTAAATGATTCTACTCATATCCTTGAATATGCCATAGACAACTCATACACAGACCAAAAACACTCCTCGCCAAACTTCACAGATTCTCAATACATACCATTCCAATTCTTTAACTTGGACAAACAGAGAATACATATACACAATCACCTTCTGCCATATTCACATATATAATTCGTTTTATCGGGGTAACTATGTGAGCTAGAGCTCAACAGGAGTGTCTCTCCAGACTGCATCGCACGAAACCTTGCTTGTGCTTTGACGCTCTTGTTGGAATCATAAAGCAAACTCCATAATTCAACTGGGAAACCGGTAATCACTGTAATTCTGTTTATCCCTTCCGTTTCACTAAGTATTCTCGGACCCTCGGAGAGGTGCGAGTTCTCTTGACCCATCGTACATCTTGAATCACTTTCACATCATACACATTCTGGGCTTCATCGGGTTCACAAACATCTTTAAGTAGCAGAGCATCATCGAATTCATTATCTTCTGATACTTCTACCTCTTCAGTAGGTCGGTCTGGGATTAAGGCACGCGGTTTGAGTCTGCTCACATGTACCCAAGGCTATACCTTGTACGCGGTGCCTTTGATCCTGCGTCTACAGCGAAAATCATCTGAGACCTCAAGGTTTCTGAAAGGGCCATGCCAGAGATGAGCAATTTTTTTGCTCAACCCTGGTTGTACTCGAGCCAGGTAGAGCCACACCGAGTCTCCTACATGGAAACCTTGTTTGAACCTATCTGACAATTCTTTCCACCCCTGAGTCTGAGCTTTTGATCGCTTCGAGTTGGCCTCTACTTGTAGATCTTTAGCCAAAGCTTAGGCGTATTCATACTGGCGCTGGGTATTTCTTCGCCACTCGTACGCTGTCTTCTTGTCAAAATCTGTCGGTATCTTTCCCAGTATTGCATTCACAGTATTCTGGGGCTCCCAGCCATGCACTAAGTAGTACGGAGTGTCTAGGCGGGTACCATCAAAAGACGTGTTTAAACCCACATCAACTTCTCGACCTGATCATCCCAGTCACTCTGATCTGCCTCTTCCACATAAGCCCGGATCGCCCTGGTTACTGTCTGCATGGATCGTTCCTGCTGACTATTAGCCTGAGGTCTGTAATCTAAGGTTGCCCTCTGTTTACTTCCCAGCATTCCCCGGAATCGCGTGAAGACTTCACTCATAAATCTGGATTACTAGCACCAAAAAGCTGAAATACTCGCTCCATATAGGCTTCTACAACTTCTTGCGCTGTGGTATCACTCATTGCTTTACGAATAATAAACCCTGAGAATACACACTGGAATAACAGCAAAACTGTGTTGCCTCGACATGATTTCGGCAGATGTGTCATGGAATCCATGGATAACACCTCAAATGCCTTAGTAGCGAGAATATTACCAGACGAAGGTCTGGCATTCGATGGCGCGCCCTTAGCCGTGACCCAATCTTTACATTCCCTCACGAAACGTTCATCATCCCCGTACATTCCTGGCCGATAGTATTCCTGGCGTAAGCGCTCCTGAGTTCTATGAATTCCCTGACGACCCCCTTGAAAACCCTCATGGCACAGATGCAATAAATCTTTCTGGAGTGTCTTGGGGACCACGAGTCTCATATTACCTTCCTTGTTGGCGTCGACCGATTTCAGTAGTATAACACATTCCGGGAGTCTAATGCAAACTGATCAGCAATCTTTGCAGCTTCTTACGCTTCAGCAGCTGAGAGTTTTCTCAAATCTCCACGCAAATAAGTGGTGAGGCGACGAATCCAGTGTTCAGTCTTCTGATGGATATAAATACGTCACCAACGTTCAACTATTGCCCCCGCAGGCGTCTTTCCTTCAGGTAGATATCCTCTGGATTCCATAGTATTCTCAGACGTCCTAGAATCAGATTGTTCCATCATCGCCTCAGAAGTTCCTGGACCTGTCGGTGGAGAGACTCTTGTTCTACTTCTCGTCACAGCGACAAATATCTGAGAAGAAGGTACCAGTGGACTAGCTTCGCCTTCTATCGATTCGGATCCGGGAATAGTCAAACAGGATCTTACACGCTCCGTTCTTCTTTGTGTTTCCAGGGGTGCCAATTCATCCGATTTCGTGACTGAATTCCCAGGTTTCGTGTCTTCTAAAGTACGCTGCTTCACCTGTCGTTCGGGTATCCTATTCATCTGTTTCAGCTGAGCTAGTTTGATCGGATCCACGATTTCCACCGAGTTCCGGGATAAGCCGGTTTTGCCGATCACGTAATCAGCGGCAGCATTATACTCCCATTTCACATGTACTATGCGCCCAGACTTGAATTCTTTGCGCAGACCTTCGAACGGAGCGAGCAGTAACTTCAACCTGGGATTCAGACACTGGATAAGTCCTTGGGCTTGTTGAATAGCTATTCGAGAATCACCTACAATAATTAAGTCCCGAATTTTCCGATCTAATGTCATCTTTAAACCCTCATCATACCATGATACTCAGCTTCGTTCACCGTGATGTCTTTAAAATGGAACCTCGAGCTGCAACCACATCCCAAGTAGGTAGCTTTCAGAGAATACAGCCAGAACTTCCTAATCGATCCGATGCCCTAGCTGAACCGTTAAACCTGAGGCGCCAGCCTTCGTAGTCGGACTCTAACTTCTCGAGCCTGATAGGAGGAGCTCTAACTACTCGACCTTTCATTGGGATGAGATTCTCAGCAATTTGATCGAGTTTGTCACGCTCAGTAATTCCGTCTCCCAGAATTGACGCTAATCCGTCCTCGTCATTCTAGATCTTGTGCACTTCCAGCGGCCAAGGTGCCACGTGGCCGCCCATTGCTCACAACGGCCTTCTAAAGACTTAGATTTGAAAACCCGCCCAGAACTGAATAGCGCGTAAAAACCGTCAAGGTGGCGTTGCCTACTAGCATAGGATTGTATATCTCTGAGAACTCCGAGTAATCTCACTATTTCCTTCTCTGTCGGGTGATATCGCAATTCTTGATAGTGCAGTACACTGCATGTGAATCGGCCCGGATATATATTTCCATCGTAGTTTTGGCCCAACACAGCACTCACCGCCCAAGGATTTGCGTGTACGATGATAATGAATGGTTTCTTCCCGTCCGGATGTCTCAATCGTGGAGACATTTTCTGCTTGAGAATTTAAAACCTTCCTTTGCAGGTTCCAGATTTTTACCCATTCGTATCTGCTCGTCTGTTAATTCATACCGGGCAGCTTCAATTACTGAGAGGGCTTCTATGTTGTAGTAGTCGAGGCTTACCAGAAATGATTGTACACCCTTGAGAGTAGTTGGGAACGGCAGCTTCTTAACACCCTATGCAATCTTAGGTTTGGCTCTGATTCCTTCAGCTCCAATTCCATTCGATAAGCACGAAATAGTTCTCTTGCCAAACTCACTTTTTGGAAGACTCACAGAGATTCCCCAACATCGCGATCGATAGAACAATCGATCAAGGTCGATACACATTTGATCCCAGGTTTCTGCTCCATATGCGATATCATCTATATACGAACTTCGGCCCAGAACAGGTCTAAGTTCAGCAAGTGCAGGAATGTTCCTCCGGAACACCGTCAAATCTTCGGTCAAGGGGGACAAATCTCGTCTTTCGACCTCATTCTCAGACTTGATTCCCAAAAATTCCAAGACTTCACGATCCACCTTAGCTTCTTCTTCGGGCGGAATACACACAAGCCCCACAGACAATTATACAACATCTGCTGATAGATCAACGGCGCATCCTTGACATCCCATTTCATTGAAAGTGAGTTAGTGGACGCACAAGCGCTGATATATGTTGTGCCTTATGTGTCATAGGCACAGACCAGAATCCACTTGCCATATCCAGACTCAGAAACCACATTACATTCTCAAACCCAATCAATAAATCATCGATCAAAGGCAGAGGATAGTACACGATCTTGATCAACTGACTAACTAATCGATACTCGATACAGAGTCATACACCCACTGCATTCTTTTTCATCACAATGACAATGGGAGAAGCCCATTCATAATTCGAGTATTCAATTAGCTTGGTCTCTAACAGCTTCTTCAACAGGTCATATATCTTCTGGAGATGATGGTGTGGCACTTGCCTAGAACTCTGAGCAATAGGCTTAGCTCCATCCACATCTTGACCACAGACGACCCCTCTCGCCGGTGTAGGCACTTCATTTCTGTCCCCTAGCAGATCTTATGAAGCTTTTCCAAAATAGCTCGTACTTTGGCATCCATTTCTTGGGTAGTTTCTTCAGGTTCATCAATATTAACAGTGTCTAGATTCGCAATATGGCTTAGTTCCTTCAGTTCTGGGAGGGCAGCCAACTGATCTTTGAGGTCACTTAACAACTCACTCCTCTCATGGAAGAATACGGTGGCTTCTTCTTCAACATCATCCACCTTCGTTCTCAGCAACGCGCAAAGTTATCGAATAGACGAGAGATTGGCTCATTATCATGACCATGAAACTCCTTCGAATATGTCTCCAATTCGTCCGTTCGAAAAATAGGTACTATTCTCAGACCAGTCCGAGTCAATTTCCAGCCTAGCGTCTGAGAATCTTACTTGCGGCACTTCCATCTCGGGTTATGACACTTCGGGCTCAACCTCATGCACCTGGCCAATCTCTTCCAGTGCGGTGTTTCAGGACTGCGTCTGCATTTGCAACCTCCAACAACCCTGTGGAAACTTTTAGCGCAAAGATAAAACATGTCTACACGCTGCGCCAACGCATGAAAATGGGTCTTTTGTTACAGCAGTTAGCACGGTGTTGTAACGAGGAATCCTTGTTCGGGGAAGGTTCGTTCCTATACTCAGATGGTAGTCTGAGACTCGCTGGAGTTCCCCCCATGTCTGCGGTTTTGGTGCCGAAGCACTCCCAGAAGTCACGTCCATTCCAGATTCAGTTCGTAACGAAGCTTCCTACCGAAGGGGAGCTTCCGCGAGACGCTGGTTAAACGCGCCTCAATTCTAATAAGTACAAGGACTGGCAAGTGTTAGCCTACCCGGAAAACTGAGACTTGACGCTGTTTGAACGCGAGCAGAGGGTTTACGAGAAGTTGTTTTCGGAGCAACTGCCACCGATGGATCGCCGAGAGCATCCCACCCCGAAACATATTGTAACAAAGGGGATTGAAGGATCGGACTCATCGGAAGCCCCATGGGTAGACTCCACCGTGGAAACTGAACCAATAATCGATACTGAAGACCGATCGGCTAAGCCAGAAACCAATCGAAACGGGTCCGATGCTGAAGATGACGAGGGTGGTGAGCCAACCGAAGACTGGGAAAGAAAGCTAGATACTGCGTACGTCTCGGTGATGCACGAAATAGGAGAAGATGTAATGGAAGGTCAAGAACACGATGCGTTCGAACAGGTTCCTAACGAGATGGAACTCACCGATTACGCGCATGAACTAGCCTTCCTGCCATACTTGACTTAACCGGACGTGACGACCCTGGATTATTCAGCTTCTAACGTACAAAACCCAGCTCTGTCAGAGATCCTATCTACAGAGGTTGTGGAAGTACTGAAGAAATCAGTACAAGTTATGATCGCCCGTGGAAATGCACTACTACCACCTGCATACGATGTCGTCTGTGGCATCGATGTACAAGGACATTCCACTGATCAAGCTGAAAGTTCGACGGACGCCGCTCCGGTATCGCGGGAAGCTGTACAAGTTCCTAAATGGGATACTGCGCGCGGGGCTGATAACCTTCTCGGATAGTCCGTGGGCATCACCCATCGTGATTGTGTTAAAGAAGAATAGTGTCGATATTCGTTTGTGTGACTACAAGATGCTTAATGCAGTCACTGCGATCATGCAATATGTCATGCCGTTGGTAGATGACCTACTGACCGACATAGGAGTGTGGTGAAGTGAATTCCTGAAAATCGAGGGAATGATGCGATCAAGACGAAGACCAGGCATCCCCCAATCTACGGTAATTACCGTGGATCCAGATCCGAGAAGGTAGGATGAACTCAGGTCAACTGATTCGGGGACCATTGGACCAATCTGGGTGGACCTAATTATGGGCACCTGATTTAGGCACGACTATACCTGATCCGGACATGATTACTCGGGACCAATTCGTTCAAGTAAACAAGGTATGTAATCGGCAGCGAACATCAAGATCTGAAGATAAGCGGTTGCTAGAAAGGAAGGTACATGGATCCAGGTAGTAGAGGATAGGACAA